CACAAGGAACTGAGTTCAAGCCCCAGAATACATGAAAAAGCCAAACATGTGGATGTGCTTGTAATCCCCCAACGGGAAAGGCAGACAGGGTTAGGGTGAGTGAGAGAGCCTATCTCAAAAAACAGTGGGTGCCGAGGAAAAAAATGAAACTTGAGGTCATCCTCTGGCCTCTGCATGTATCTATGTGGCCACACACACACATCACTATGTAAACAGGTTTTCCCAAGTATGAGACTATCCCAATGAACCCTATGGTGGTTTGAAAGAAAGTGGCCTCCAGAGACTCATAGGGAGTGGCACTATTGGAGGTGTGGCCTTGCTAGAGTATGTATGTCACAGGGGGTGGGCTTTGAGGGTTTGAAACAAATGCTATATCAACTTACCAAACTCATCTGCATCCAACCCCATCCCAATTTCCTGCTCCTAGCGAAGCTTGTTACTACAAGCACCTGGAGCCCCATCTCCAAAAACTGGAGGACCACCACTCTCCATCCACCATTTCCCATCTTTCCCTACCACCAGACTCTTGCCACCAGCACTTGACTACCACAGCCAGTCCTGCCTCAACTTTGCACTTTCTCCTCTTCTTAATGTTCAAACATCCCCAAAATGCTACTATAGACTAAACATTTTTTGCTTCCTCAAAATCCTTATATTCCTATGTGGTGATACATGGAGGAAGTAACTGGGATTAAAGAAAGTCAGGAATAGTATTAAACTAAGTCTTAAGTGTGGTGGTTTGAATGAGAATGGCCCCCCCGCCCCGTATGCTCATATATTTGAATGGTTGGTCTCCAATTAACGGAACTGAAGAATTAGTATGTGGCCTTGTTAAAGAAACAGTGTCACTGGGGGCGGGCTTAAGTTTCAAAATCCCACACCAGGCTCAGTTTCTCTCTCTCGCCTTGCTGCCTGTGGTTTAGCCTGCCTCTCTGCCACCATGGTTCCTGCCATGATTATCATGGACTTACCCTCTGAAATTATAAGCAAGCTCCCAATTGCATGCCTTCTCTTCTAAGAATTGCCTTATTTGCTCTTCACCTGCTTGCCCTCACCCTGTTGGCCAGCCCACTCCTCCACTGGCATTAGAGCCTACTTCTTTGGGATTCCAGCATATACTGAGACCAGCTGAGACACCCAGCCTCATGGACTGAGCAACTACAGAATTCTTGAACTTTCCATTCACAGTCAGCCACTGTTGGATTAGTTGGACATCAGTCTGAAAGTCATCCTAATAAACCCCTTTCTGTAATACATAGATTCATTCTATAAATTCTTTAACTCTAGGAAACCCTGACTAATACATCTTCCTTAGACTTCCCACTCTTACAATACTCTTGTGCTACTTCTTGGCAGGTCCTACAAGCACCACAGTCCACCACTTAATTATGTAATTCTACCTTCAAAGCCTACTTGCAGTCAAGAGCTTCAAGCTCAATTGGGGGATGGCTCTAGGATGTTTCACTAACTCTCCTGGTCTAGTTCTTAGCCTGGCACACAAACCTGTAATGTATTATGATAGAAGAATGAACAGTCCCTGCCCTTCCCAGTTATCTGAAATTTTCCCACCCTCTGGCCCACTACCTACTCTCTCTTCTTTAGTCCCCCTAAAGTGCCACTCCCAGCATACCACTTACCATGTATTGCCTTGCATGGTGATATATCCTCTAGATACGCTACATCTTCCACTCAGAACATAACTTCTACAAGACAGAAAGAATAAAATAATTAAACACATTTTCACAACTGTCAATGATATAAAGGAGAGGTTTATTTGCTTACAATTATCTTAACAGTAATTTTAAACCCTCAAAAATGCTTAGCCTGTAAACACAATCAGGAACATACCAAGCTACCTTCAAGTTTCCAAGCAAACTGCAAGCTGCCCTCGTTAGTTGTACTAACTCAAAACTAACTGCTGCTAAACTCACCAAAAGTACAACTACCTCCCATCTCTGGTTCAGTACAAGATTGAAGGAAAGACTTCCTCCATCCCTCACAGACACGTTTCCCTCCACTGTAACATAAAGTAGGCATAAATCCAACCCCCAAATCACAGTGAAACCTGCATTCAAATTCAAATAGACCCACAATCTTGCTAACACAAGTTACAATTCTTTACCTTCATTCTCAGCTTGTCCCACAGAAGAACAATGCCAACATAAATTGAACTTTGGCAAAATGCTTTAAAAAGTACACAAATACTAAACACAAAAGGCCTTAATGTGGAAACATCTTTCTAGGGGCTGAGACTAGCTCAGCAGTTAAGAGCACTTGCTGCTCTTGCAGAGTTCAGTTCCCAGCACCCAAGTTGGGTGGCTCACAATTGCCAAGAGATACATACAATACCCTTTTCTGGCCTTTGGAGGCACCTGCACACATGCATACATTCAAATACATTCATATACCTTCATAATGCAGTAAGTAACCCTTTCATATAGTTCCTCACATTGCAGTGACCCCAACCATGAAATCACTTTGTTGACCCAAGGGGTCGAAACCCATGGTTGACAACCACTAATGTAGGCATACTGTAATGGCTATTTCTTGGTTGTCATCTTAACTATACAGGGTGCACACCTGTGAGAGATTTTCTTAATTTGAAGGGGGTAGATCTACTTTGAAAGAACATCTTTGAGGTAGAAAGACACACCTTTAATTCAGATCTGTAATTTAGATCGATTATGGGCCACACCTTCTGCTAGAAGCCTATATAAGGACACTGAAGAAGGAAACTTTTGTTCTCTGCCTGTTTGCCCTCGCCTTGTTGGCAAGCCCATTCCTTCACTGGCATTAGAGCCCACTTATTCAGGATTCCAGAATATAATGAAGACCGGCTGAGACAGCCAGCCTCAAGGACTGAGCGACTCCTGACTTTCCATTCATAGCCAGCCATTATTGGGTTAGCTGAGCCACAGTCTGTAAGACATTCTCATAAATCCCTTTTCTGTACATACAGAAGTTCTTTAACTCTACAGAACCCTGACTAATGCACATATATACGAACATACAGATACACATACATAAAAATAAATAAACTTTTTAAAAATGCCTGCCTTTCTTCTCGAACTGACAAGGTAAAAAAAAAATGACAAATAACTGAGTTCTACCAATTACTATCTAATAAACATAGTTACCAAATAATACTCCTCATTCTAATACTCTCATGATTCAACTTGGGAGCCAAAGAGCTACCATTGGCACCTCAGGCTCCTCACAGCCAAAAGAACGAACTCAGTACAAACTCCATGCTCTGCATCTGAACCTGAACCCAATCTCTCCCAGGTTCATCATCCTATTTCCATCTCCACCAAGCCCTGTGAGCCTCACGAGTTGACATACCCAGCACTATCATGAAACTTCCCTAACTTGTCCAGTGAATTCCTATCCATCCACCAACCTCTTATTGAACCTCATTTGTGAAGCATTCTTGATTTTCTTTGGGAACATAATCTCATCCCTTCTAGACTGCTACTGCTTAGTCTATACTTTCTTTTTGTTATTGTTATTATTATTATTATTTTGTTTTTTCCAGACAGGGTCTACAAAGCGACTCACTCCTTTTACAGAACTTACCAGAAACTGCCTCATGTAACAGTCATGGGTACCCATGCTGAACTCCTTCGTTATGTTACTAGATCCTTGAAATCATGGCTTCATTCAGTCACTTCTGCATCCTTCACAGCTTCTACACACAATAAATGGCAGGCAGGTTTTACTCTCGTTGTGTGCGTTTCTGTGTCACTAAGTTTGCATTTTCCTTCTGCTTCTCCCACAAATCTGCATTTGGGAAACCAACTGGGAAGCGGACATTTTTCACTGACTCCTGCCTCATGTATTGACCCAATACACATGAGGCACTGTCCCGAGCTCTGTAGACAAATATGGCACACAAACCTGCAAGGCTCAAGGATCTCAAAACCCGTAAACAAATGCTTAAATAATAATAAAATATCTCCAACATTACAAAAAGAAAAATTCAATTTGATAAACACAAGAAAATAAGGGTGTAAAGTGTCCAAGATAACAAAAAGGAATATACTGAAGCTAGAGGTGGGCAACAGTCAGGGTAATTAACACCTCTGAACAAAGTAAAACTGGAATGGAACACTCACTACCAGACCACCCTGGGCGTTTCTACAGTCAGAAAAGCTAAAAAATACTGAACCATTGTATTATGGATGCAAAGTTCAATTCAAGTCAATGAATTCAATGTAAATGGAAAATGCCTATTCCTGGGCTGCCGTTTAAAAGCAGGGAAACCGAGGGAGCTATTCTGAACACTTTACAGTCCGGAACGTCAATGGACACATGGAGTTTCAAGGTGTGACTACATACAAGTCAACTGAGACCCCGCACGTTGCCATGGCTGAGCCCTGAAGCCCGGCCTCCTCCTGGCGGATGCTCAATTGCCCGTTCGCTGGTTTGCATCTCCCGCCAGCCTGCGAGGTAAGCGCGGGACTCCGGGACTCGCCGCCCCTCCCGCCCCGGGTGGCCCCGGGCCTGGGCCGTAGCTTGAGCTCCACAAACAGACGAAAGGCGCCCACCCCATCCCTCTCCTGCGTTTCTGTGGGATCTGTAGCTAGGGTAGCTCTTTCTCCCTCGGCGGCAGATCTGTTCCGAGGCCGCCAGACCCAACTCCCGGGATCACTTCGCCCAGCCCTGGATGCTCTCTCTCCAAACACCCACCAAGCGCCCCCGTTTACCTACAGAGAGTCCCCGGGTCCCCCCCAGAGCCAGGCCTGTTTACTACAACAGCCTCCACGGCACAGGCGCCGCCCGCGCCTCCGGAACAGGAAACACCGGGAATTAAAAAGCAAACCTGAAAAAGAGGAGCCTAGGGAGGGAAAACTCTGCGGTGCACAGCGCAGCACCTTTGGCGCCGTGATTGGCGGGTCAGCTAGAGTGACGGACACCTAGACCAATCGACATGCCTATCGTTCTCACACCCGCCCCCCCACATTGACGTCCTCCAATCCGGAAGCGCAACCGGGTGAGCGCGCGTTTCCGCCGCGAAAGGGCAGTGGGGCGCGCGGTTTGGAGATGCCGGGTGCTTCTCCGGGTTTCTCTGGGTCACCGCGGCCTGAGTCGCGTGAAGACATGAGTGACCCCGGAGGCGACCACACGCGCCTCAGGCGCTACCCCAGGCTCCCGGTGTGGGTGGTGGAGGATCACCAGGAGGTGAGCCGGCAGCAGGCTCCCCCGAGCCATGACAGGAGGGATTCGAACCCTGGCGACCTGCAGAGCCTTGACCAGCATCTGACGCTGGCTGCCCGCCTGTCTCCTGCCAACGAATCATTCTGCTGTGTGATGAGAGGGTTGGCCAAGAACGTGCACCTTCGGCTGTGAAATGGGGACCATAGTTGTAGATCCTGTTATAGAGCTGTAACTGGGGTCTAAATCTTCAGGCTTTGTTAACGTTTGGCAGTGCTGTGGTAACGTGGGTACCTTACGTAGACTTCTGGTTGACGGCCAGTGAGGTCCATGGGTGTAGGAGACTTGGTCTAGATGAAGCTCAGTGGTACAGTGCTTGCCACAGACCTTGGGTTCAACCCCTCCTCCCAGGCAAAAGTGGGGCAAGGGGACTTACTGATGGAACAAGAGGAAAAGAAAGTCAACAAATTTGAAAGTCTGTGCTTTCAAATTTAGCAGTAAACCTGGACAGATAGGGTGAAGGAGTCATCCAGCCTAGCTTCACCATCCTAAAGGGACACAAAATGTCCTAAAGCTCATTTAGTGCTGGAGTGAGTGGTTCTGGGTGATAAAGACGGAGATATTCATCAGAGCCATCTACAGTAAAGAAATTTTATATAACAACATGGTTCTTCAAGTTTGTGCAGTTATTTATTTATTTATTTATTTATTTATTTGAGTCTGCACTTGACAATGTGAATTTCTCAGTGTGTCCGCGTCTCTGTTACAGGTTCTGCCTTTCATATACCGGGCCATTGGTTCGAAGCATCTTCCTGCCAGTAATATACGCTTTTTACATTTTGACTCACATCCAGACCTCCTCATCCCTGTGAATATGCCAGCAGACACTGTGTTTGATAAGGAAGCACTCTTTGGGTAACGCGATATTTTTTCATCATATTTTATGTATTTGAAATATAAGATGTAGCAGATAATAAAGCAATAGACTTTGCCACACTCATGTTTGGGTTTTTTTTTTATTTGTTTGTTTGCCTTTTTTATTTTGTTTAGAACAAGTTTTTGACAAACTAAAAGAGGCAAAATAGAGACCAGGAATGGTGGCATATACCTATGATCACTGAGAGCACTGAGGCAGGAGAGTTACAGTTTGAGGACAGCCAGGGATACATTGAAGCCTCTTTGTGGTTAAGTATTACTTGTCAACTTGGCAGAATCTAGAATTACCTGAGAAGTGGGCAAGAGGGCTTGCCTTCAAGGAGTTATCTTGATTGGATTAGTAAAGGCGGAAAGACCCACCCGCTGTGAGTAGCACTACCCCTGAGTGGGTTCCTGGTCTGTGTCACTGGAGAGAGGGAAGTGAACAGCACCTTTAATTCATCTCTGGTTCCTGATTATGAGTGTGGCATGACCAGCTGCTTCAAACTTACTATCTTGACCTCATCAAAACCTATTACTTTTATTGAAGTATTTTATCATAGCAACTGGGAAAGAAGCTAAGACCCTGTGCATGCGTGTGTGTGCGTGGTTTCCTGGCGTTGCCTCCGTATACAGTTGCTTGTCCCTGCCTTTGTAGTGTGAAAGGAATCATGGATGTTGTACCAATAAAACTTTACATCAAATACAAGCCAGTATTTCATGGCCTCTAATTTAGAATTTGGAATGATAGAAGAGATTTGCCAAACAATCTAAATATGTTCTCCTTCCTCTCCCCTTTTAAAGCCCAGTAGTGTGGTACAAGAAATTGTGACTCTTCTGAAAACAGTCTCATAATCATGCAAAGCTACATCTTCAGTTTGCCTGTCCTTCCTAGATCGTGTCCTTTCTCAGTGACTTAATTATCAGTCCAAAATCCTATTGACTTTCAGTTTTCTAAAATCATAGAGATGGGGCTGCAGAGATGTCTCTGCAGGTAAGAACACTTAGACTTGAAGAGGACCCAAGTGTGGTTCCCAGCACCTACACCGAGTGGCTCACAACCACTGTGTAACAGCGCCATCTTCTGGCCTCTGCAGGCATCTGTACTCAGGTGCACATTCTGCATATACCCATATTTAAAAGTAAAATAAATCTTAAATAACATTAAATCTTAATTAAAAAATTAAATCTTAATTAAAAAAAATCTTAAATAGAAGCAAAGTTGATAATTCATATTCCATCCTTCAGAAAGGATTTTATACATATCTAAAATATATATATTCAAATAATAGCTCCCTGAAATCCTGCCATTATCTCATATGTAAAAGTATAGTACTTACAGTCTACTATAGATGTTTTAATTGACTTTTTCCAAAATTCCAAATCAGGGCACTAATTCCTAAAGAAATGTGGTAGTTCCACCATTCCCTTTCTGTCTCTCATAGTTTAGAAATTGAAAGAGAATGTTAAGCATATAGTCAAACCACACAGTCATAAAATAGCAGTTCTTAAACTCTTTAGTCTATGATTCTTTTTTCTTTTTTTTTTTTTTTTTTTTTTTTTTTTTTTTTGAGGCTAGGTTTCAGGTAGACCAAAATGGCTTTCAACTTGTTACATAGCCAAGGCTGACCTTGAACCCCTGATCCTCTTGTCTCCACCTCCTCAGTGCAGGGACTGCATGTACATTCCACCATGCCCAAATGTCTTCTGCATTCTTTCATACTCTTAAAGAATTAAGCCTTGAAAACAATGTCAGTTATAGTTGTGTGTATCTAATTTAAAATTAAAAACAAAATTTTCAGATGCTCGTTGTAAAATATGTGTGCAAAAGCCAGTTTTTGTTTGTTTGTTTGTTTGCTTTTTTTTTGTTTTTGTTTTTGTTTTTTCAAGACAGGGTTTCTCTGTGTAGCTTTGGAGCCTATCCTGGTACTCGCTCTGGAGACCAGCCTGGACTCCAACTCACAAAGATTCTCCTGAATGCTGGGATTAAAGCGTATGCCAGCTATTTTTTTTTTTTAACTATCTTGTGGGATCATTTAAATTTTTTAAGATCTGCCTTCTGCCCCTGTGAATGACACCTGGGTTCGCTATCTGCTTCTTCATTCAGTCTGTTGCTGTGTGTTGTTTTGGTTGAAGTATCTGATGAAAGTTCATGCTCTCATAGATGTGATTGGAAAATGAGATAGTATTTTCATTACTTATTCAGATAAGTAATGTTGTGACTATTCTTTGTTCCTCCACCAAAACTCCACAAGTTTCTGAAAGCTTAGCTGGAATGCAAAATCTAGCAACCCAGCTTCCTGTCTAAATATGATCTTTCAAAGAAAAAATCAGCTCAGTGCACATTTCAGTCCCCGGGCCTTTTCCTTGAAGCAACTATTGTACTTCCCAGTCTAGAGCAGAAGGAGTTTTGCTGTGCTCCTCTTTTTGCTACACAGAATATTTTAAAATATCTAGCAGCGAGAATTAATAAAACCTGGGCTGGAGAGATGGCTCAGAGGTTAAGAGCACTGACTGCTCTTCCAGAGGTCCTGAGTTCAATTCCCAGCAACCACATGGTGGCTCACAACCATCCGTTATGAGATGTGGTGCCCTCTTCTGGTGTGCAGATATACATGGAAGCAGAATGTTGTATACATAAGAAATAAATAAAATCTTTAAAAAAAACAAAAAGAATTAATAAAACCAAAAATATTCTTCAGCCAAACTAGCTTTTGGGCAGGGTTGATTGCTAGTAATTCACCTTGCATGGCACTAAAGATACCAATTCACCATCGTGCTTGTCTACCATCATGTTTGTACAAGTGTTTGTTCAGTGAAAGGAAAATAGTATTTTCATGAAAATAGTTTTAATCTAGTAGTCTCAGGAACCTCGTCAGGGGCCATCAATTGAGACCTGCTGTCTTCAAATGTTTGGGAAAAATCATTCATTAATAATTTTAATGTTTCTGTTTTTTTTTTTCTAGAGAATTAAGTATTGAAAACTGGATTATGCCTGCGGTTTATGCTGGCCATTTTTCTCATATAATATGGCTTCATCCCACATGGGCTCAGCAAATCAGAGAGGGCAAACACCATTTCTTAGTAGGCAAAGACATTTCTACTACCACCATCAGGTAATTTCCTCATTTTTGTAAGTAGAAAAGGAACTGAATGCCTGTTATTATACTTTGGATTCTTGAATAACTTCCTAAATGCCTCTACACAGAGTCACATTAAGCCTCAGCAGCTCCAAGAAGTTCTTGAATCACCAGAAACAGATTTTTAATTCTCTTGATCTCTTTCGTGTACTATTTATATTTGTTACTAGTTAAATTGTTTTGTATGACATTCTCTGGAATTTGGATTCCATGCTAACTTCATCAAGTCTTTTTTAGTACCTTATAAAATTATACAACCAATGGTGCATTTTTCCCTCTGCCCCTTCTGATGCAGCTGTAGTGTATTGAGTTTAATTTTTGGAAATGAGCCAGGCAAGGTGAGTTGCATATATCTATAATCTAGGGTTATCCTCAGACACATAGTGAGTTTGAGGCCAGCTGAGGTTACATGAGATCCTGCCTCAAACAAACAAACAAAAATCACTGTTTTTGTTTTCATTTTTTAATAAATTGGTGTCTGGATAAGTAGATTTTAGGGTGTTAAATTTATTGTTGTGATTTTTAGTTTTTAGTCTAAGTTAAATTATAATGCCCTCCAATTTGAGCTATATGTGAGTCAGGTTTTTTTGTATGTGGCATTTAAACAATATCCTCTATTTTGTGTTACTGCAATGTCTGTCTTTAAAAGTAGCAGTCTAACTGGGTGTTGGTGGCAGATCCACCGCACTCAGGAGGCAGAGGCAGGTGGATCTCTGAGTCCAGCCTGGTCTACTGAGCAAGTTCCAGGACAGGCTCTAAAATAATACAGAGAAACCCTGTCTCGAAAAACCAAAAAAAAAAAAAAAAAAAAAAAGTAGCAGTCTAGTTCTAAATTCTCTTGGGATAGGAAAAATTTTTAATCGATGTACACATAACTTTCTAGGTCCTAAGTGATAATAGAAATTGTGCCCTTTAATTCTGTGTCTATTTTGATGACAGTGTTACCTTTGGTATTATGTGCTTTTGTCATTTATGTGAGTAACGTATCATCTTGATTTATGAAAATTGTATTTACTATATAATTTTTGAAAAGTAATTAGAACTCAATCAACATGTAACAAATATTGTACATAATATTGGTCTATATAAAAAACTGAGTTCACTACGTTTAGTGGACCTAATAGAACCTGTAAAATCAAATCATTTTGTATAGGCTGACAGATTTTCGCTGTTACTGTTATTCAGCAGCCTCACAACAGCCCTTTTCTGGCCTCCCAAATGCTGGGGTTAAGATGTGAAATACTGTGCCAGCTTGATAGGGATCTATATGTATGAAAGACAGGTTTTCTCTTTTTTATTTTGAGACAGTTCTCACTTTATGTTGCCTTGGATAGCCTAGAACTCTCTATGGAGATCAGGCTGGCTTTGAACTCACAGAGATGTGCCTTCCAAGTGCTGGGATTAAAGGGGTTCACCAAAACATGGGGTATGGTTTTGATTTTCTGAGACAGGGCCTTATTCTGGCACAGAACATCACAGATCTTTTTGAAAGCTGAATATGTAATTACAGCTTTGGGAATATTGTGCTTACCTCATGATTTAGTCCAGCAAGTAAAAATGTATGAACAACCGATTGCATGTAGGCATGTAGGCATGAATCTGAGTTTGCAGAAATAGAAGCAAAGTAAAATTTGCTTAGTAGGAAAAATGTGAGGCTTCGGAGATAGCTGAGCTAGTAAAGTGCTTTATTTACCATATAAGCATGAGGACCTGTATTTGATCCCAGAGCCTGTATGAAAATGCTCGGCATGGGGGCACATCTGATGCCCGTGCTGAGGAGGCAGAGCCAGGCAGATCTGTATGGCTCACAGGCCAGCCAGCACAGCCTACTAGTGAACTCCAAACCAGCAGAAGACTCAAGGGAAGAGTAGCTTCCACATACACACACTGGCCTGCATACCACACACAGACTAGAAATTTAAGTTAGAGTTACAGTATTTGTCTTCATTAGGATGTTTATTTTTATGTCATTCATCAGTTTTGAAAACTATCTTCTTTTTAAGTTATAGCTATAAGGGCTGACTGGAGCTGGAGATTTGAGCCCCTATTCAATCCCCAGCACATTATGGGCACCAGCCCATAATGCCAGCACTCAGGAAGTGGTGACAGGAGAATTAGTAGTTTAGGGCCAGTCTAGATGTGTGAGACCTCTCAAGTCAGTTTCAGGGATAATTGTACTATTTTTATTTAGTAGAGTGGTTGTGGAATAGTAATTTAAGATGTGTTACATTTGTTTGATTAAATTAAATTAACCCGAGGTCAGGAGGTTGAGTCAGCAATTAGCTGACTGGAGGCGGTAGGGATGAACCAGGTATAGCTAGAGTTCTTACATGGAGGTAGAGCAGAAGGATGCCAGTTTTTAGGGGAGATGCAAGCTAAGAGAGAAGATTAACTGCTTGCTATTCAGCCTCTCTAAGCAACCAGGATTGCACTTCAATTTTTGAATCTTGGTTTCTATAAAGAGATAGAGATCTAGAAAAAGTTCCCTTTAACAGCAGAGATAGAATTCCCACTCCCAGCCAAACCTCGGAGTTGCAGTTGCCTATTAGGACAGCAGTTGCTTAAGGGGCAGATACTGAATTAGTGAAAAACAACACAGTATGTCTCTGAAACATGTATTTGAATTTAGTGTTCTAAGTACTCTCCAAGACATAATATAGTCAAAAAGCTGACAAGGTACTGATATTTTTAGAATCAGAAATCTTACCCATATATTTTTGTCCCAGAATTCTTAGAAGGCTGGGGCAAGAAGATCACCTGAGCCCTAGAGTTGGATGCCACAATGAGCACCTTAGTCACATTCTGTTTCTTTTAAAAGGAAAGGAAAAAAAAAATCAGAGCTGGTAAGACGGCTCAACAGATAAGAACACTTACTGCTTTATCAAATGACTGCAGTTGGGACCTCAGCACCCAGGTCAAGAAGCTCACACACACCTGTGTCTCCAGCTCCATGGGAACCAGTGCTCCCTTCTGACCTCCATGGGTACTGCACACACACACACACACACACACACACACACACACACACACACACAGAGAGAGAGAGAGAGAGAGAGAGAGAGAGAGAGAGAGAGAAACTAAAATAAATCTTTAAAGCAGAAATCCAGGACTCATAAACTGAATTTTAAATGTGGATCTTTTGAAATTACTTTCCATGTTAAAAATACTGTGATTATATACTTTAAATGAAACTAGAAAGTATGTTGCAAAGAGCTTCTGTGTTCAGAGAAATTATTTATGATAAATTTTTCCTTAGAGTTTTTTATTTACACTTTTGAAGATTTTTTGTGTGTGTGTGTGTGTGTGTGTGTGTGTGTGTGTGTTTGTGTCTGAGTGTCGACTTTGCCAAAGGAGGCTAAAAAGGGGATTAGCTGCCTTAAAGCTAGGGTTGCAGGCAGTTGTGAGGTGTCTCTAATAGGTGCTCTGGTCCTCTGGAGGGACAGCAAGTATTCTTAACTTATCCAATATCTCTCCAACCCTGTGTTTGTTTTCTTAGTTGAGTAACTATTTCTGATGTTAGAGTTCACCACATACATACCAAGCCTGTGTATCAACTCTTTTTTTCTGTGTGTGTGTGTGTGTGTGTGTGTGTGTGTGTGTGTGTGTGTGTGTGTGTGTACACGTGTGTGTGTGTGTGTGTACGTGTGTACACAAGGTCCCATTTTGTAGACCAGGTTGACCCCATACTTGCACCAGTCCTGGCTTACCTTCCCAAACTCTGAGATTACAGACGTGAGTCACCACTCTTGGCTCCTTCTGTCTTCATGTTGCACTATTTCTGGAGTCCTCATAGGCCAACGTAACTTTCCGCCTTTATGCTCTTGACTGGTCAGCAGGCATGGGGAGAGCACTGCTCCATACACCTGTTTTCCTATCATAGTCACTGACCAGAACTTCTGAGGTGGCCACATCTAGCTGCAATGTGGACTACAAAAAGATGTCTAGTCTTTGCTTTGGGCAGTGGGGACACAGTTTCTGCTGAAGACTAAGTACAAGTGTCAAAATCCCTTATTTTTGTCACATGTGTCTTATTTCTGCAGTGTCATTGTATAATGTTAGCTAATATGCTCATTCTTTAAAGTATTTTTTTCCTTTGACCCAGGGTTACCAGTACAGATTATTACTTCCTAAGTGATGGTCTGTTTGTACCTGAAGACCAGCTAGAGAACCGAAAACCATTACAGTTGGATGTGATCATGGTAGAACCTTACAAACTCTGTAACAATCAAGATGACAGTGACTCTGTGTCTTCTGCAAAGAAGCCCAAGCTGGCACTGGGCCCTAGAGAGAGCACTACCACTACATATGGGGACCCTTCCTCAGAAGGACAAAGAAGTGACCATGCTTGCCAAGAGCCACCATGCCCATGTTCTTCTGGAGACCAGCAGTGCCCAAGCACAGCCAGCACTGGGGAGATTCTGGAAATGCTGAAGAATGGAGATGCTTTTGTTTTAGATATTGACTTGGATTTCTTTTCTGTCAAAAATCCCTTCAAAGAAATGTTCACTCAGGTAAATTTTGGAAGCATAAACCTTGAGAATTGCATGGCATTTCTCAGATAGCAAGATAGCTCAGATTACAGATAGCAAGCTTTCTACAAACATCCAGATGATAATTATCTTAAGGTTAAAGGCCATGTTTTCTGCCACATATTCTTCTGTTCTTTTCCAGTCTTTTAAACATTATATACAAGCTTGTCATTCCTAATTAGAAATTCCAAAATCTAAAATACTCCAAAACCCAAAACTTTGTACGTATCATGATGAAGCACACCTGTAAAGTCCCCAAATAACCCAAAATCTGAAAAACTCATGGGATTTGATAGAACTTCTGCTTCCAAGCATCTCAGATAAAGATATATAACCTACATTATACTTTAGGATTTACTAGCTACATTTTTATTGTTCACTACATGAATTTATTTATTGTGGGATGGTGGCTCATGCCACAGCACACATGTGGAAGTCAGGGGACAACTTTCCAAGGTCAGTTTCAAAATCATCAGGGTTGGTGGCAGGCACCTGTATCCTCTGAACCACCTCACTGGCCCAGCTATATTTTTAATATTAATAAAAATAACAAAGCAAAGCATAGAGGCACATATTTGTAATACTAGCACTTGGGAAGTAGATACAGGAGATCATGAGTTCAAATCCAGCCTGGGCTATGTAAAACCTTGTTTCTGAAAAAAAGAATGATAATAGGTAATTCCAATTTGTTGCATCAGTTGCTTATGAACTGTGTCACCCTAGCAAAGGTGACTTGCAGTGTAAGCAATCGTCCACAGCCTACTAAGGATGTAACTCAATAGTAGAGTGCGTCCCTAACTTGTTCAGTGTTGTGGGTTCAATCCCTAGTGCTGGAAAGTAAGTACTTGAATAATGAATAAGCCCCAGCTCTTAGTATTGTTGTAATTGATGAAGCATTGAACACATGCCCCAGTATTGCGCCTAATCCATTTTAGCTCTTACCTAGCACTGGGCCAGATGCAGCCTCTTAGAGATGGAGCTGTCTAGTTATGTTTTTAAGAAACTTACTTCTTTTGTTTAGCTTAAAGAATTGAGTTACATTAGGCATCTTTCTCTTAATTCAGGTTCCGTGTCTGTCATTCTGCAAGCCAGCATTGCTTCTGTATTCCAGAAGTCTCTCTGTTGCTAGGGAAGTGGCTGCATGGTATTTGTGGGGAATCTCCTGTCATCATCAGTGAGGACATTTGTGTCTCCCATAAACAGCTAGTCTGTTTAAATCTGGGAATATATCCCAGATAATGGTATAGTTTAGAAATACTTTTATGATCTGTTAGCCTATTAGCTATCTTTTATACTATGTTCTGCCCAACTAGATAAACTTGTCCTGAAAATATAGATCTGCTTTAAAAATCTAAAGTATACAGTGTACCTGATTCTCCCAGACAAACCTGTGTACATTATCTCAGATATTCTCTGGGTATCACAGGCATATTGTTAGAAATTCCTAACCTTGGGATTTTTGTTTTGTCTTATAGGATGAGTACAAAATTCTACAGGAGCTTTACCAGTTTAAAAAGCCTGAAAGTAACCTTACTGAGGTAAATCCTGCACTTTACCTACCACTAAATACTTTCATTTTTAGGTTAAGAGAGTTTGTGCAGTTCTAGCCAGCCTCAAATTCAGCCTCCTGAGTGCTGGGATTGTAAGTGTGACCCACCTTGCCTGGCACTAATAATATTTTATAGCTTATTTAAATGTTCTTCATTATCCAGAATCTTTTTGTGCATATAGATATTCACAGATACATGTTTTTGTTTTGTTTTGTTTTGGTGAATGCTTCAGTGCAGAGCAAATATTTTTAACTGAAGAAACTGATATTTTCATAACAGTGTTTTACCTGTTTTTTGAAGGAATAACTGTATCTTAGTTTTTCAATGTTTTCAAAGGAAGATTTGGTAGATATTGTCGATACTCGAACTCATCAATTAGAAGATTTAGAAGCAATTTTTGCTGATTTGTGTGATGGTGATGGTGAAGAAACTGTACAGAGATGGGCTTCAAATCCTGGGTAAGACCCCCTAACCTTTTTCTTACCCGAATAATGAATTGTCCATTCTAGATACATTTCCAAGTTTGTTGGACAAACTGATCTTTAAATTAGAATCAAGAGTTAGGGATATAGCTTACTCAGTAAAGTGCCTGCCACATTGCCATGAGGACCTGAGTTCAGGTCCTGAGCATCTATTTAAAAAGCCAGGCTTAGTAGTAATAGGAAGGTGGAGACAAGAGTATTCTGTAGCTCACTGACCAAGCAGACTAGCTGATGATGAGCATCATAGTCAATGAAAGATGCTATCTCAAACCCTAACCAAAGACACCCAGTGTTGACCATTGCCTTTATTGAGCACTGTTCATGTGCTCTCTGTCAAAGGATTTGGAGGCAGAGACAGGAAGATCAGGAATTGAAGGTCACCATCAGCTGTATGCTGAGTTACAAGCTAACTTGGGCTTTATAAAATAAAGTTACTTTTCTAAAATAACAGTAATAATAGTAATATTAATAAATTTTGTTAAAAAGGTGGCCAAGTGAGGTGGTGAATACCTTTAATCCCAGCACTCAGGAGGTAGAGACAAGAGGATCTCCTTGAGTTCCAGACCAGCCAGGGCTACATATTGAGATCCTGTTTCAAATTAATTTTAAACAATGAGGTTGAACAACTTTATCTTTCATCTCTCAACTATCATTTGAAGCATGTACCCTTGCTGGAGCTCTATTTTTTAATCATTAATATTTTTTGTATAGGGCTGTGGGTTCAACCGAGAGCCTTGTACATGCTAGCTAGGCAAGCACTGAGCTATAGACTCCTGTCATAGTTAGGGCTACTGTTGCTGTGATGAAACATGACCACAGCAAGTTGGGGAGAAAAGGGTTTATTCAACTTATGATTCCACATCACAGTTCATCATCAGAGGAAGTCAGGGCAGCAACCTGGAGGAAAGAGCTGATGCAGAGGCCATGGAGGAATGCTGCTTACTGGCTTGTTCTACCTGCTTATAGAACCTAGAACCACCCACCCAGGGATAAAACCATCCACAATGGCCTGAGCTTCCCCCAGTGATCACTAATTAAGAAAATTCTCTACAGGCTTGCCTACAACCTGATCTTATTGAGGCATTTTCTCTATTGAGGCTCCCTCCTCTCAGGTGACTTTAGCTTGTGTCAAGTTGACATAAAACTGTCCATCACAACTTATAACCCCCATCCATGATTTAAAAAAAAAAAAAAAAAAACTTAGCCAGGCAATGGTGGCACATACCTTTAATCCCAGCGCTTAGGAAGCAGAGGCAGGCAGATCTCTGTGGGTTCAAGACCAGCCTGATCTACAGAGCTAGTTCCAAGACAGCCAGAGCTGTTACACAGAGAAACCCTATCTTGGGGGGGAGGGGCTTATATCTAGTATGCCATTTGTTGCTAATGCTAATCAAAATTATTCTGCTGTATAATGACTGGGGTGGCTTTTTTCCAGAATGGAATCACTAGTTCCACTTGTACAGAGTTTGAAAAAACGGATGGAAGTACCAGACTATGAAATGGTAAATATTTTATATCATTGTAAAATTTATATACAGGTGATCTTTCTGGGTGAAGTTTTTGTTAAAGAGTGATCAAACACATACTTTTCAGAAAAGATTTTTAAAAATATTTTTCTGGAGGGTAGAGGGCTGGAGAGATGGTTCAGCAGTTAAGAGCACTAACTATTCGTCCAGAGGACCTGGGTTCAATTCCCAGAACCCACATGACAGCTTATAACTGTCTATGACTCCAGTTCCAGGGGCACAATACCCATGGCAAAACACCAATGCGCATAAAATGAAAATAGACAAAATTTTTAAAATATATTTTTTCCAGGAAAAAGATTCTTATTTTATCTAAGAAGCAAAGGTACTCTGAATCTTTTATTGTTTTTACTATGACTTGAGGTATGGTCTCATGCAGCCCCCTTGGCCTATAACTCATGATCCCCCTGCCTCCACCTCACAGTTCTGGTATTTCAGGCACACACCAACATGCCCAGCTGTTACTACTTTTTGTTTTTTTGCTGTGCTTGTTGATAGTCCAATATCACCTTACCATCCATAATTTAATCTATAATTTCTAATTTCATCCATTTGTTCATTTTTCTTCTATTTTCAGAGAAGGTTTCACTGTGTGGCCCTGGCTGACCTAGAACTTGCTATGTAGACCAGGCTGGCCTCAAACTTCCTGTGATAAGTGCTGGGAATAAAGGGGTATACCACCACCCCTGACCATTAGTTCTTACTTAGGTTCTTTTCCATTCTCTGAAAACTTACCTGATCATAAAAACCAAAAGAGAAAGAAGAAAACTGTGTCGGTACATTTTAAATGTTAGTTCTTTGCCGCTTGTCAGTAGTGACCTGAGTGTTGAGACAAAAGCTTATAGTCCTTACAGCATCTGACTCCATCACCTTATAGTCCTCACAACATTCTGGCTCCATCACCTTATAATCTTTACAGCATCTGACTCCATCACCTTAGAGTCCTTACAGCATCTGACTCCATCACCTTAGAGTCCTTACAGCATATATTTTCCTTTTTGACCCAATATTTGTGAAAACTTAAAGCTTTAAAAGTTTAAGTAAAGCCAGGAAGGGCTTTTCTATAGTCCCCATACTCTGAGAGTGGAGGCTCCACTAGCAAGCTCCAGGCTAGCCTGGACTACATGCTTCCTTCAAAGGCAGTCTCCACTGGATTACAACACAGTTCAGGTGCATTTCTCAGATTGTTAAGATGCCACAGCTGAGAGCCCAGCTCTCCTGTCTCTGAATCTACTGTCTCATCAGTAAAAGGAGTTTTACTGTTTTCTTTGGTTGTAGAATGCTGTCATACCATTTTATTCTAGCTGGTTGTTTACTAACTTAATCTGCACTTATGAAATAAATAACAGCAAAAGAATATCATGGTTAACGCTTGCTAAGTCAAGGCTTACTCTTTTCTGAAAATGGCATTTGTTATTTAAAAAACACAATTTAAGGCTGGAGAGATGACTCAGCAGTTAACAGCAGGGCTGCTCTTTCAGAAGACCCAGGTTCAGTTGCCAGCACTCAGGTAACCACTGAGAACCATCTGTAACTCCAGTTCCAGGGGATCTGGTGCCCTCCTCTGGCCCCTGTGGGCACTGCACACATGTGGTACACATATGGACCTGCAGGCAAAACACCTATACACATAACATGAAAAAGAAAAAGAATGATAGGTGCATGATACTCAGGGCTTGAAAATATTGATATTAAAACAAACAAACAAAAAAACCGGGTGTTGGTGGCACACGCCTTTAATCCCAGCACTCGGGAGGCAGAGGCAGGCAGATCTCTGTGAGTTCAAGGCCAGCCTGGTCTACAGAGTGAGTTCCAGGACAACCTCCAAAGCAATACAGAGAAACCCTGTCTCAGAAAACCGAAAAAAAAATATTAATATTATCAAATGTGTGTTCAGGTAACTGTGCCTACAGCATTCATTGATTGTGTTTTCTCTCTCTCTCTCATCACAATGCACATACAGAGGTCATACTCTATAGAATTGGTTCTCTCCTGCTTTTATGTGGGTTCCTGAGATTGAACTGAGATCCAGCTTTCAGTGTGGAGTACTTTTATAGGCTGAGCCATCTCACTGTCCCCATCAACCTTTGTTTTTGAGATAAGGTCTCTCACTGAATGTGAAGCTCCTGAATTCAGCTTGGCTCCCTGGCCAATGAGCTTTAAGGCTGTCTATCTCTTTACTGCCCATCCACTATCTCAAGAATCTTGTAAAATCAATAGTCTTCAGGTGTCATTTGGAGCCTTTATTTTCAGCATTGGGCCTTGAAGCTAGTGCTTGTACATGCTAGGGATACACTCTACCATTGATTTATTTTATTTTCAGGTTCACCAGGCTGGGCTAACCTGTGATCATTCAGAACTCCCTCATCATGTCAGCACAGAAGAAGAAATTGAGTATCTTATCCAGTCTGTGTATTGTTTACTGAAAAATCTTCCAAAGCCTACTCTTGTGACAATCGCAAGGTAAGTGTGATTGGCTGAATAATAGTCCATCTCAGACGTCAGTGTCCCACATTCTGGACGCTGTCGATGTGTCTCTGCACAGCAGTGGGGACTTTGCAGTGTGAGGGATACAAGGGTTTTGAAGTGAGTTACCCTAAATTACCTGAGTGGAACCAGTATGGTCACAAGACTCTAGTAAGAGGGAGTCTAAAATAGCAGAAACAGAGGAGAAGATAAGGTGTGCTAGCTCTGCAGATGGAGAGTAAGTCTCCTCAGGAGAAATCCTGCAGCATCTAGATGGGGCTTGTGAGGTTTAAAGAGCATGTAGGACATGACCTGGGGAGATAACATCTGCCAGGTCTCAGACACCCTCATGACTCTTCAGTGACAACAGCACACACAGGCTGTCCCTCCACACTCACAGCTTGATCACACTCACATATCTTTCCTCTGTCTCCTGGCCGCAGGTCAAGTCTGGATGATTACTGTCCTCCTGAGCAAGTTGACACCATTCAGGAAAAGGTCCTCCGTGTGCTGCACTCACTCTATGGGACCCTGGACACTCACCTGGTGTATTCAGAGGAGTCTCCTCCTCCTTGTTGAAACAGACAGAGCACTAGGCTCCTGTGCAGTTTGGTACAGTAACGGGGTTTTGTTTGTGAGTCTTCCAGAGTACACTTTCATTTTTTGGTTTTTCAAGACAGGGTTTCTTTGTGTAACCTTGGCTGTCCTGGAACTCGATCTATAGACCAGGATGGCCTTGAACTCACAGAGATCCATCTGCCTCTGCCTCCTGAGTGCTGGGATTAAAAGCATGAGCTACTACTGCCCCGCCAGAGTACACTTTTTATGTTAACTTTCAGTTGAAATCAGTCAGATATTTTTAATCTCAAGCAAATATCAGTTATTGAATATGGCAACTGGGGTAAAAGTAGGGGATATTTGTTTGATTTGGTTTGATTGTTTTTACATCAAATCTGTTAACCCCAGTTGATGGGGAATATTAGCTATCTTTCTTATTTTCTATGTTGTCTTTGTTTTTTTTCTTCCATGAACAGAACTTTGGATTATATGAGATTTATTTATTTATTTATTCATTCAGCTGATGTTTATTTAGCACTTTCCTGTGCCAGACACTGTTAAAGGCAAGATGCCCTGCCCTCCTGAGAGAGACACATGAGAAGCACATAACAGGCTATGGACAGTCTCAGGAAAAAAGAGAACCACAAGTGTGTCTCGGGCATGTGGTTAGTTCTCAGGTACCCTGGCCTTATAGAAAGCTACATTCTCAAAAGTGATGCAAGAAGTTCTTTCAGTCTATGAGAATGTTACAGCAAGGCTGCCTCTCCTAGGATGTTGGAATTGTGCCCACGCTTTTGCTAAATGTTATCCAGTATTGTTTTTATGCAAGAGTTCTGGCTGAGTAAACCTGACCAAACAAAATTTCCCTTTTTGTTGTTGCTTGTTGGTTTTTTGTTTTGTTTTTGTTGTTTGTTTTTTGGTTTTTCAAGACAAAATTTCTCTGTGTAGCCCTGGCTGTCCTGGAACTCACTCTGTAGACTGGGCTATCCTATAACTCAGAGAACTACCTGTCTTTCTCTCTCAGGTGCTGGGATTAAAGGCATGCACCACCACTGCCTTGCTGCTTGTAGCTTTTGGTCATTGGGAAGGATTTGGGAAGTTTTTTTCCTTCAGGTGTCATATTATTGGCAGTCAGGGTCAAGCGGTTAGAAATTTACTAAGCAGTTAAGAGCACTTGCTGCTTTCAGAGGACAGGAGTTCAGTTCCCAGCACCTGTCTGGCAGCTCACAGCCTCTTGTAACCCCAGAGCTAGAGGCCAACACTTCTGTGGCCTCCCAGCACCACCCACATGTGTACATACCCACACATAAACACATAAATAAAAAATAAATCTTAAAAATCAAGGTGAACAAATTTTTCTGTTAAACCACCTTTTTTGGAAAATTACATCTTTGTGACCTGACATAAATACCCAAGGATATATCTGCCTTCCAACCTCCTCATAATATGACTGAACACAGTGGGTGCTCCCTTAGGTGAGTGTGAAGACAAGTAAGTGATCAAGTGAAGAACCGTTTACTATCTGAAGCAATGAAGAGAACACTGGGAACATTTTCCATAATAGTCTCTCCCCAAGTGAAGAAAGAAAAGGAATTTTATCAGGGAGACTTGTGCAGGTTTTTGCTGGAAAGACATATCATTGCATATAGAAGAGAATATTTTTCTGCTCTATGCATTTGGAGATTATGCTTTATATATTTAATGAGCCAAGTTTGCCCTTAGTGACCCAGAAGAGTGGCTAGGCTATTTTGACTGGATTAAAATTGTTGCCGGAAGTGGGAGGCGTGTTTTAAGGGATGTAGCATCTTCCCCCTTGCCTCTGCAGACACCAGTGTTTAACCAGTGTTCCCACCTTGGTGGCCATGAATAAGACACTCTTTGCCATGGAAGTTATTTTCTCAATTTTCATTCTTCCTTCGCTTTTGTTCAGTGGTTAGTTCTAACTGCTTAATTTCTTTTCCTTTAACAGGTAAGATAGTGTGTAAAGAGAAAAATAAAGCATCCATCATTCCCACCTGAGCATAGCAGGTCACTTCCAGCCCTCATCTGCATGAGTGACTGTAGAGTTGTGCAGCCAAAAGCAGAGTTACTTGGTTGCAGTTAGTACTCCAAGACACATGACCACTGGCATTCAGTAGATGGAAGCATATTCCCTTTTTATAGTAGCAATATTTTCCTCTGGTGAATTCTCTTGTCACTATGAAAGCTTGTTTGTATTGTGTACACAAAGCTAACTGATTAGGCTTCCATTTTGATACAATATATACACAAAAGGTTTATGTTCATACAAAATTAGAACTGCAAAATTGTGGTGTTTTTAAATTTTGAAAATTTTCTGTTAGAGTTCTGTAAATAGGCATTACTTTTACAAATTAATTATTCTATGTTCTAAATGAATTTAAATGATATGCTTGGCAGTTTTAAGGCTTTTAGGACCAACTATAGAACTAATTATTCTTTATGTCAGTCTGTTGATTTCATTGGTGCTTAGCTGTTTTGTTTTGATTTTTTTGTTGTTGTTGGGAGGGTTATTATTATTGCTAATGATTCCAGTGAACTCTGGTGTGATCCATCATTTTTTAAGCTGGATTGGGTTACAGGTTGTTGGTACACACCTGTAATCTTAATACCCAAGCTAATGCAGGAAGATTCCTGTGAGTCCAAGGCCAGCCTAGGCTACATAGACTTACCTCAAAATGAGAACAAAAAAATCCTTTTCCTTTATAGAAATTCTGGTGTCTGAGGTGACCTCCTCTCAGCCCGCCCCAGCACTGTATTCAGTCCTCCTTGTTGAATAAAGCCCAGTTAGTAAAGTGAATCAGCACACTCCAGACAAGAGGCTATTTAACTTATACATCCTTCCTTTGTGCTCCAAATGCCAGTGAGGGAATACATGCACAAGTAGCATTTCACCCACTGAGCATCTCTCCAGCCATCCCTGGAATCCTGACTTTTGAAGCAATATTAAATTCTCACAGAGGTTCTGTGAATAGTGATTCTCAAGACTAAAGATCTTTATTCAAAAAGGTAGGTGTTTTCCCACAAGGAAAGAAGCTAATAGAGATTTAAATAGTTATTCATAATTTTTCTGTTATAATCAGTATGAGCATCTATTGACAAACATTTTTTAAATGTTTATTATTATTTTAGTGTTTTATATGCATGGCTGCTTTGCCTGTATGTATGGGGATGGGCCAGAAGAGGGTATCTGGAACTCCTGGAACTGGAGTTACAGCCAATTGTGAGCTTCTGTGTAGGTTCTGAGACTCAAACCTGGGTCCTATGGAAGAGTAGCCAGTGCTCTTAATTGCTGGGCCATCTTTTCAACACCCTAATATTTTAATTTTTATTTAAAATTTCTTCCTTCAATGTATTTTGTAAATAACTCCTCCCAGATACTCTCCACCTCAATGTTCTTTCTCTCAGGAAAATAAGAAAGAAAAAAGAAAAAAACTAAGAGTCCATTTTGTGTAGGCTAACTGCTCCTGAGATGGGACTTGCCCTAGAGTGTAGTTGACATACTCAGTAACACACCACTGGAGAAAAACGAATTCCCCCTTTCCTAGAAAATATCCGTTGTAAACAGTTTCTTGGTTACAGGTGGGACTTTGTGTCTGCTTCCTCTTCTCAGTGCTGGGATTTTGTCTGATTTTAACCATTGCAGGTCTTACGCATGCTATCATGGTCTCTGCAGGTCATATGTGTATCAGTCCTCTTATTTCTGGAACATGCCATTTCCTTGGACTCATCCACCACCTCTGGCTCTTACAATCTCCCCATGTCTTCTTCCATGTAGATCTCTTAAGTCTTGAGGGGAGGGATGTTTAAGACATTCGATTTAGGGGTGAGTCCTCCTAAGTCTTTTACTCTCTGCACATTGTCCTGTTGTGGGTCTCTGTATTAATCACCATCTACTGAAAGGAGAAGCTTCTCTGATGAGGGCTGGTCAATGCTCTGATCTATGGGTATAGCAATATGTCATTAGAAGTCATTTTATTGCTGTGTTCCTTTAGTAGAAAAATAGTAGTAGGTTTTCCCCTAGGCCTGTGAACTATTTAGCCCAGGTATTTTGCCCCTTCAGCAGTGTCAGATATGTCTCCCATCTCATGGAGTGATTCCAGTCAAAAGTGGTTGGTTACTTCCATATTTGTGCCACTGTGGCATTAGTATTTCTTGCAAGAAGGTCTTTGTAGGTCGCAGGGTTTGTAGCTGGGCGGTACTGATGATTACTTTTCTCCAGTATGCAAAGTACCTTCTAGCACTGTGAACACTAGTCAGTCGGGATGAAGCTTCTAGGAAAGCACCAGGCTGATTTCTCTGTGTTTGATGACATAAGAAGTATCGTCAATCTGTGAGGCACATACCTTTAATCCCAGTACTCTGGATGCAGAGGCAGGCGGATCTCTGTGAATTAAAAGGAAAAAAAAAAGAAAAGAAATTGTGTCTTCAGCAACAGGACCTTACCATTCAGTTCTGGACAATAACCAATAGCGTTGGTAATAGCCTGTGGTGTTTAGAGGAATGACTGTAGAACCCCTTTGTCCAGCCTGCTAACATTTCTTATCTTGTACTTACATAGTCTTTTGTAATCTGTCCTCTTACGGATAAGATCTGATAAGAACTGTGTTCCAAATGCTGGGAAAGCATAACCTACAAATATGCACAGCTTGAATTTTTACCTAAAATTTTAAAATCTAACATTTGACATGATTTGCCCAGAACTTTGTGTATGAACTTTAGATCACTAAAAAATACCCTGCATTGGGTGAGTTTTGCTGACTATTGAAGGACTGACAATTCTTCCTCACTTCTGGTTATTTCCTTCCACTTGGAAGTACAGCTGTAGTCTTACTCGGCCCCTCTACTCCTTCCTGGGCCAAAAGAGTGAATGAAGGAACATCGAGATCTTTTCTTATAAAAAAGGATTTGTTTTGCTCTCCTCATCCACTGGTGCAAGATTTTGAAGGCAGACCACATAAAAGTGGCTCACAGTGGTGCCAATTGATGGTCAAGTCAACCTTGGGGAAGCTGTTGCTTAGAGATATAATCCTGCTCCTTGCTAGATACTCTATCAGTGATGCAGACAAAGTTATTTAGATAATTAGGAGAAAAAGGCAATGTCTTTTAGGCTTCCTTAAACCCCAATATAATATTTTCTTGTTAAATAGTTTATTAAAATCTGCTTTATAGAACTGCTTGGAAAGTGTATAAATTCAGCAGCCTTTTGAAATTCTGATAAAGACGGAAATTAAATAGTATTTTTAATTGCTACATGGCATAGAGCTTTTAAAGCTTTTTATAGTTTATTTTGCTTTTGAGTATTAATAGACTAGTAATTTGACTTTTTTCTAGCATCATGCTGAGACAGGCAACACAGTGCCTTAGGAAGATTTCCAAATAAATAGCATGTAGTCATAAAATGTCAGCATATAGGATGTTATAATTCAAAGCAGGGTACCCAGAAAGTAAGCTTATTGCAACCTAAACAAATAGAACTTTACAAGCCTATTAAATAATATAAATGAAGATATGACTATAGAAAGATATGATATACTAATATAAAAATATTCAGGTAGTCACACATTGGCACGTCTATAATCCCAACGTTTGAAAAGTAGAGGCAGACAAAACACCATGTATTTAAAGTTAGCCTGGTCTATATATAACAAGCTCCAGGCCAGCCAGAACTACATAACAAGACTGTCAAAAACTAAAAAAGGTAACTGATACTGAGTGTCAAAGACAAAAATGGCAGACCACTGAGGCTCTATTCATTGCTCCAGTTCTGATCTGCTGTTCCAGGGACCTCAGACAGGTGTCTGCTTCCCTCCTGGGGTCAGAGGCCTCCTCCACACAGCCCACAACAGTTCTCCACTATGAGTGCCCAGAAAGGAGTTCAAGACCAGCCAACAGGTTTGTTGGGAATGGTGTTTGGCTTGCCAGGAACCCTTTTCTCAAGTAGCAGTTCTCCTGTACCATTCTGAGCCTTGTGCTGTCCAAGACCATCAGGCTCTTTTTGATAGTTGCCTTCATTGTCTTTTGCATCCTCTTTGCCATGTGAGGCCCCAAAAAGATCTTGCTTTCTCCTCCATCCCTTTCTAGAACTTAACTATATTGTCCAGGTACTGGGATTGCAAGTGTGAGTCACCTTAGGACATTTCGTTTTAACTCATTAAACTGATTTTAAACTTAAGATGTAAAAATGAACCTGCCAGGAAAGCTAGGAAAATACTGAAAAATAAATATTAACAAGTATCTTGCTTATATATTCTAGATGCATAATTGTATTAATTAAAATTTTATTAATTAAAACACGGTAGTACAGATCAAACATGAACAGAATAAGATCCAGAAATAGACCTGTATTGGTTGAATAAAGAATGCCTGGTTTAGCAGAAAAATGGTTCTCACACTAAATGAAAATTTTCCAAAATAAAGTTTCTGTTCAGTAGGCCCTCTCTAAAGCAAGGGTTCTGGACATTGGTTGTTTTGATCTTTGACTCTACCATTTTGAACATGTGGTTTCCAAGATTTTCCCTGAGTAGACCTCATTTCCACCTAGCAAGAAGGCTGCTGATGGACAAGGAAGACCTTGGGGAGTTTGTAATATGTTCCTGGACCATCGTCCCTAACTATGAGAAAAGCTGGTAAAATAGAACCAGGCAGGTGTGGTGGTGCATTCCTGTAGTGTTAATACTCAGGAAGTTGAAGCAAAGGATCATTGAATTATTCGCTATCGTGGGCTACATAGAAAGACCCTGTCGCAAAAAAAAGGGGGGAGATGGGGGGGTTTGAGAGCTGGCTCGGTGGTTAAGAGCACTAGTTGCTCTTCCTGAGGACTTAATTCCAAGCATCCATATGTGGTTCACACCCATTTGCACCTCTAGTTCTAGGAGATCAGAAGGCCAGCAAGATGGATCAACTGCTAAAACTTGCCACCAAGACTGACAATTTGAGTACAATCCTGAGAAAAAAAGAACAGTACCACAAGTATCACCACATCTGTTTCCAAGTTATACTACTGAGCATGGTAACAAATACAGTATAGTGCTGGCACAAAGCAACACAGATCACTGGACTAGGACAGAAGATCCAGATATAAACCCACACAGGAACAGCTACCTAATTTCTTACAAAGATGCCAAAAATATGAAGAAAAGAAATTTGAAGGCAAGACAGCCAGATTTAGGGAGTTGCTTCCACAATGGGATTTGGGGATCAAACTTGTGCTTTTACGATTTCATAACAAGCTCTTTCCTACTGAGCCATCTTACTGGCCTTCATTTCCTCATACCAAAGCAAAAAAAAAAAAAAAAAAAAAAAAAAAAAAAAAAAAAAAAAAGTATCAGACGTCAACCTGATGGGTGAGAAAAAGAATACAAGTCTAATTCTCACAGTAGTGGTACAAGAAGATAAAAGCCCCCATCCTGTCATGGCAACAACACATACAATGTCAAATCAAAGAGAAAACCTAAGACTGGCAAGGAGGCCATTCACTGCAAACATGATCTGATTCTAAATCCCAGCCTCCGAGTTCATAGGAAGTGCCAGGCACAGATTATAGAATTCCTAGTAGGGAACTTTAAAAGATGAAAGATGACTCAGCTGAGGACCAAGTGCCTACACTATCGCTTGGAAGGTGGAGACAAGAGGATCAGCCATCTCATCAGTAACGTGCTTGCCTTACAGACATGAGGACCTGTGTTCAATCTCAAGAACCCATGTGGAAATGCAGGTGTGGTGACAGTTCGTAATCCCTACACTGGAGAGCTGGAGACAGACAAATAGCTGACAAGCCTACTTGGCAAGGTCCAGTCCAGTGAAAGGTGGCTAGCACCTGAGGAACAATACATGTAGTCCTCTGGCTTCCACATGCGCACACACACACACACACACACACACACACACACACACACACAGTTGGGGATATAACTCAGTGGTAGAGAGCTTATCCTAGCACATGCAGGGTACAGGGTGCAATTCCCAGTGATGCAAAATACATACATACATACGTACGTACGTACATACATACATACTGCAACAGGATAAATAAAAGGCCCAGAGACAGTGGGATTTAACATGAAGCAAAGCAGCCAAGCTACCAGAGAGCTTTTACCTCTAAAAGGGCTGAGGCATTCCTATTCTCAAGGTAGCTGGGATTGAATGCCTGATACTGACTGCTGAAGACCCTGCTCCTATCTTTTATACCCCTCTAGTGCTGGCATGTGCTCCCAGGAACTGAGATCATCTTTAGAATTGTATTAATCGTGTGTAGATCTGGCTGGTCTTGGACTTACAGAGCTTCCTCTACCTCTTAAACCTGAGTCCTAGGATTAAAAGCATGTACCTCCATCTCCTAGCTTCTGGCTACTGGGATTAAAGGTGTCTATCACCACTGCCTGATCTCTATAGCTTGAGCCTGACTTTGCTTATTGAATCCTCAGACAAGCTTTAATAAATCATAAATAATATATACCACACATACATAAGGCTAGGGAGGTAACACCTTTACCACACAGACATGAGAACCCAAGTTGGGAGCCCTGTCATTCACATAAGTGATAGATGAAAGCAGCAGCCCACCTGCAATTCCAAACCATAGGAAGCAGAAGTATAGGACCCCCAGAGGAAGCTGGTTAGCCTGACTAGTCTAAATGGGTCCCAGGAGAGGCTCTGTCAAAGGGATTGGATGGCTCTGCCTTTCCAACTTTGCTGTTCACAACACAATTCTCTCTCTGCCCGGTTCCACTCCTTGTATGCAGATGTCCCACAGCTCTGGCACCTCCAACATCTTAGGGGCTCTAATGCAATCCAGGCTTCACTTTCACAGCTTCACACAATGGCCTCTCAAGGCCTCCAAGCAGGAATTCCCCTGCCACACACCTGGCCTCAGAGGCTGTCCTTAACCTCATAGGAAGGTTCTCAACCCCTTTACTCATGTATCCTTCATGACTCTAAAGCCAGAATCACATGGACACACCGCCTCAAGGTTTGGATTAAAGGTGTGTGTCATCCATCCTCGAGTTTCAGATTTGAAGTGGCCTCCATTTCTAGATTACAATTCTTTCCAGACATAGTCAAGTTGACAACCAAGAATAGCCGTCACAGCACTCTAACATGGGCTTTGGTTTCTCAAGGGAACATAGCTATATATACAATTTTGGGGGACTATCCAAGTTACATTGTTCACAGTGTTTAAAAGATTAGAAAATTTTGTTATATTCGTTTGTATCTAAAGAACTTGTCTTTAACACATCATGAGATCATGATGATTCTTAAATATTTGGTTCAGGATAACAGTCTGAAACCATAAATCAGGTCCCAAAAAAGTACCTGATGACATAAAACAGGTCACTATATATGTGATGTTCCAAGAAAAACAGGGAAGCACTAACAAGCCCAAGGACTTTATCCTGTTAGTTTTCCTTAGATTTTTACTTGCATACACTGCTGACCTTCAGAGAAAAAAGGAGGACCCTGTTAATCATCTACAATGTAAAGGCCACTTGGGGGATGTGGACAGGAAACATGACTACGTATAAAGTGATACTTGCCTGGGGTGCATGACACCCTAGACTTGTTCTCCACCACCATTAAGGTAATAAATGTCTGGTGGGTGTTGTGTGGTCACCTTTCCCTGGCTGACCAATGACAGTAAAAAAATGGGTCTCCATCTGTCACCAGTAAAGAATTGATGCTGACCTGTTTTATTCCTCTCTTCCTGTAGTCCTTTTATGACTTACTTTTTTTTTTTTTATTCTTGTGAGCTTAATTCTGGC